ACCCTGTATTTAGAAAAATAACAGCTAATATAATTAAGGAGACATCGGAGTTCAATCAACCAAAGGACCAAGCAGGATTTTGTACAGGATACTCCACAATAAACCATATTCATACTATCAAACAGGTAATAGAGAAATGTGCGGAATACAACCAAGACCTATACATAGCCTTCATAGATTAGGAGAAGGCGTTTAACTCAGCCGAGACATCAGCATTAATGCAGGCAGTATAAAATCAGGGAATCTAGGAACCCTACATAAAAATACTGGAATAAATCTACAGTGGATCCACAACCACCATAGTTCTCCATAAAGAAAGCGACAGGCAGGGACACATGATCTCTCCAATGCTACTTACCACGTGTTTACAGGAGGTTTCAGGACCCTAGAATAGAACGAATTAGCGAAAAGAGTTATTGAAGAGTATCCTAGTAACCTGCCATTCCCTGATGACATTGCCTTGATGAGTAACGCAGAGGACGAATTGAATTGAAGCTCATTATCACGGAACTTGACATGGAATGCAGAAAAGTAGGCCTTAAAGTAATAAGTTATGTGCAACAGTCTCGACAGAAAATGGCACTTTGCGATAAGTGGAGAGACGCTGTCTACTTAGGAGAGGTAGTAACCGCGGAGCCGAACCATGAGAGTGAAATAACTAGAATAGGAATGGGGTGGCGCACATTCGGCAAGCACTCTCAACTCAAGACTGGTAGATTGCCACTATCCCCCAAGAGGAAGGTATACAGTAGCTGTATCTTGCCAGTACTTACCTACGGAACAGACACCTGGAGGCTTAGAAACAGGGTTCAGCTTAAATTGAGGACGATGCAGCGAGCAATGGAAAAGAAAATGATAGGTGTAACGTTAAGAGACAAGAAGAAAGAAGAGCGGGTCAGGGAACAAACCGGGGTTAAGAATATACATAGCTAAAATAAAAAAGAAGAAATTGGCATGGGCCGGGCAAGTAGCACGTAGGCAGGATAACCGCTGGTCATGAAAGGTAACTAACCGGATTCCCAGAGAAGGCAAACGCACGAAGCGGAGACAGAAAGTTAGGTGGGCTAAGTTCGTAGGTACAACATGACAACCGAAAGCACAAAACCGGGTTGATTGGCACATCATGGGAGAGGCCTTTGCCCTGCAATGAGCATAGTCAGACTGATGATCATGATGAGGAATCCGCATGTAACCGCTTGTAAAGGTGGTCTCACAGCAGTATAGGAGTGCTAAATAGTGAAAGCGCCTATCCAAGGGAAGTACGCTTTGCCGTGAAGCCTCACTTTGGATTTAAAGGGGCCCTGCAACACATTTCGAGCATGGCCAGAAAACACTGCTGATCGGTGGTCGAGGCTACCGAAAAGACACAAGCAAAATAATAATATAGCGCAGCACGGGGCCTGCAATTCACAATAAATTTTAAAAATCGGCAAAAAATTGCTCTCTTCCCTTGGCAAATGACGCCACAAGCTCAAAAATCACCTGTCACAACTGTTGTGTCAACCATTGGCTGATTTGAACATGGCGCGCTCGATCGTTGATGGGGCATCCACAGAAGGCCGAAACTTGTTCACGCATATGTGCGCAATCGCACTAAAAAAGCCACATATTCGAAGAGAAAAAGGGCTCAAGTTCACGAGGTGCATGTGACATATTTTCTTTCCCTGTGCCATCCGTTCCTGCTTAGCCTCCAGCGCTTTTATCGGCACGAGAAGAGAAAATGCGATTACAGCGTGCAACAAATCTTTACAACTCCGCGTGTACTGGACGAATTCTAAAACTTTTGCCAAGGTGAATTTGTAAAACAATGAGCTTCTTTAGTGAATCCATTCCATGGCTACTCGAAAAAGTGTTTCCGGGCTCCTTTAAATGATTATTTTACCCACAAATTGATTCATCATTTTTTTTCAAGTTTAATAGCTTGTTATGACGGCTTTTATGCCTTAAGTATCGGTTGAGTTTTATGCTGTAAGATTGGTTGAGCATTGGACGCCCCATGTGAAAGTTGCAGATCCACCAAGGGAAACTGCGAGTTTTCATTCTCTTTAATTAACTTCAATTTGCACCATTACATCATTCTGGAAGGCAAATAAGTTGTAGGTTGTATGCCGAATGGTTGTATGCCGCAGTGCTGCTGTGATTCATGGAGAAAATCGTACAAAAAAAATACAGCGGCTAATAAGTCACTAGTCTATTGTGCCCAAACTATTTGCCATGTTTAATGAAATTCGCTGCAATAGATGGCTCTCTATCTCATTCGGAAAGTTCTCTAAAAGAGCTGTGATACTGAGCAACTGAGCAACTGTGAGCTGAGCAACTGATCTAGCAGAAAAAGAAATCTTGGATTGCATGTAAAAGTTTAAATACGTGCACAACTTATGCTACACGAGCTCGATAATCTATACAACTACGAAAATTAGCAAATAATTATACCTTATGCAGCCAATGCATGTTCAGACCATATATCTTACTTTATAAGCACCCTTGAGTGAACCCAGGGCGCTACGTAACTCTCATTGATAATCTTAGCATCGCTGGCGCCATCTGGTAAACATACACGTTCGGAGTGCTCAGCGTCGCACTTCGAGAGAGAGTCAATGGTTAATAGCAGCACCCCCCTTTCTATCAATGCATTGTATGGGTGCACATTCTAGACACTATAGTACAGGACAGACTTCGCGTGCCGACTATTAGGGGACAGGTGGAAGGGTGCGCCTGCCGTGCCCCCCTCGTGTGCGCGCCTATATGGACAGATGTACCTATACTCCGTTTGTTACATCAGGTGCATCGCTGTGAAAGCTATGCAAGAAGTTCGATAAGAAACACATGTGACTTCGAGCGTCTCGCGCCTAGCTTTGATCGTTGTAAACGCTCATGCGAGACGAGCACTAACGCGCCTGCAGAGCGTCGCGAAAGGCTACAAGTAACACATCAAGAAATAAGAACCAAGACAAGCCATATAACGGGGTGTTTTCATCTCCGAGGCACAAAACAGAAAGAATCAATCATCATCATGTCTGAGATGCAAAAATAATCCTACTATTTCGTAGTGCAAACGTATTCATTGCAAGAATTCTCACTAGCCTTCACAGCGTTGCACTCGATGTAGAAAACGTAGCATAGGAAAAGACATTCGTTGAACACATGACCATGGGCTCTGAGGTGTGGCTCTAACGTAGGTGCCATCATAATCCCTTTTGATTTTCGAATATGCATAACCCCCCTTTCTCTCGCCCTCCCACTAAGTGCGACACTGAGCTCGATTGTGCTGCTACTCGATAATCTGTGTGTTCGTGCAATTATGTCGCATTAGGAAATCTGCTCTTGGCAAAAATGAAGAATTTCCTAAAGCAAACACTTCGTGGGAGCTTAGTTAACCAGTTAACCATGATTTAGGCAGTAGCGCAAAGATGGTGAAAGAAGACTAGAAACAGCGTGAACCAACTTATGAGTTATCCGACGTCATCCCATATGTAGGTGGTCCACGTAATTGTCATAAAAAGTTTTTAAAAAACCATAGGCTCTAGGAGCTTCCAACTCCTCTATATTAGTGTACATCATCTGTTACACTGATCACCAACAAGAGGCACTTTATTTAGGTAACCCATTTATTGTAGTTGGAGATCATGAAATTTAGCAAATAACCTCAGGATTCACAGTTTATCTTGTGCTGAAATGTGCCTGGCTGTTTTTGTAACGTAAGCTACATTGACTGAGGTTGAGCAGTTTCACGTGGCAAGAAAAAAAATGACGCAAAAAGAAGGATAGCGGCGATGCCAGTGCACTCAAACGCTTCAAAGCATTTGATTGATGTCATGTTCAAACGTTATTCTATGAACCTGAGTGAGTCATAAAGACAGAGAGAGAGTGTGTTTGTGTATGCACGTGCGTACGCACGTGTTGAAACGACGCTGGTTTCAGTCTGCCAGCTGTCACAGGAGGTAGCTTTCATTGTGTCGTTGAAACGACGGCCACAGTCGGCAAATAGTAGGTGAAAGACGCCGTCTTGAGTGTCCTCCTTGGTTTTCATCGGCCAATTTCCGCCGCCTCACACGACATACAAGACACTCGCGAAGCGACGCTGACCGTACCTGCGCGAGCGATTTTCTCGCTTTTTGCAGGCGTGGATGAGTGGCGTTGTCTGGTGTCGTCTTTCGAACTATTAGCAAGATGGAGTCAGTGGAACCGCCACCTTAAGCTCTGAACCAAGAACAGCGTGCGTGATTTGAAGTTCGTGTTTGCCGTCAGGAGATCTACAACGAGAAAAACCCACCGAGCTTACGCAAGACAGTGCACTGGCAGCAAAGGCAAAAGCTCCTGTCATGAAGCCGTAAAAGCTTTTAAATTTACAGACAAGGTAGAAAACACGATATCTGTAGCAAGCATGATAATGACTACGCTTTTTCTAATAGGAAGCTGTTAGGCACAGTTGATAAGGGCAGGATTGCACGTGTGATGCTGAGTCACATGCAACCAAAGCCACGCTAGCGATGCTAGTACACTGTAGGGGCATTGGGGCGCGAGGCAACCACCCTCCTGCGAGCCCGAGCAGCGTGCCTTGGCCTTTTTTTTTTCTTTTTTTTTTTCACCTTTGTTCGTTCACTCTGCGTCCCCTCCTCTCTCGTAACGACCTCATCGCTGACTCCCCAGCAGCGCACCCAGTGCACCTCTTTTCAGAAGCACACTCCCTACCGCGATAGTCAAAGATTTTCTTGCAACCAGATTATAACCGGTCTCTCATCTTGGAGAGACAGCACAATAAGCTGTATGTGTATAGCGTATACATGGGGTTCTATGGGAGGGTGAGCGGGAGTCGAAAAAGACTGCATTGTAACCGGTTCTCCCCTGTAAGTGGTTACATTATAAGTGGTATAGACTGTATATTATGGCAGTTCCTAGAATGTAATACATGAGCAGGGAGGGTATTCCATTCCTTTATGGTGCATGCCTGTGCCCGTTTGTACTGCGATATCAGTTATTATATCTAGATGCCTGCTTGCCTTTGGAGTCTCCACCGAGGTAAAGAGTATGGAGTCTTGTTGGGTCTCAGGCACCACATCATCGCCATTGGTGGCTGTGTTTGATGGATGGAGCAAGGAAGGAGGAGTGCCACACACTTCCTGGGCCACGGATGGGAGATCCTCGAGTGCCATCCCATTGTCCTCGCTGTCCGAGTCGAGCACGATCACTGGCATGGGTTCCAAAGTTTGCCTCTGCAGCATTGGTGAAAACAAACCCTATATCAGGCCAATACCTTTTTTTTTTGTTATTAAGCACTATTAATATGTGTTTTCCATGCTTCCAGACATCTCATGTCCTGTAATATGAAAATGTGGAAAAATTTCAAGGCACTGTGAATTGGGAAGAAAAGAAAAAGATACCCAATGATGAAGCTGTAGGCATGTGCAAGTACTCAAGTTTCAATTTTGAATCAAACAACAGTGCACTTATAATGTAGCCGCTTATAGTGCAAGATTGGCTACTATGCAGTCTTTTTCGACTCCAGCTTACCTTCCCATATAACATGTATAGGCGTACCGCCTATTGTGCAGTCCCCCAAGGTGAAAGACCTTTGAGATGCGGTTGAGGAAAAACCTTTATGACAAAAGCCGTAGAGAGTGTTCTTCGCAAAAGTGGTGTGCTTTGTGCGCAGTTGGAAAACGAGCAATGAGGTCATTACAGAGGAGGAAAGGACGCGGAGTGGAGAAAAAAAAAAAAAACTGCAGCAATGCACGCGGGCTCGCTGAGCGAGACAGGAGGGCAGTTGCCTATGAAATGGAGAAGTCATTGCACTAGCGTGGCTCCGCTTGGCACGTGCAATCGTGTCAAGAGCTTTATGGCTTCAAGGTGCGAGCTTTTGCTTTTACTGCCAGTGCGCAGACTTGCATAAGTATAATGGATTTTCGTCATCATTGATTTCCTGGATGTGAACGAAAACTTCGTAGCAAAAGATTCGCTCTTCGTTAAGTGGTTGAGTGTGATCTTGTCAGTGCACGATCCTTATGTTGTCTCAGACAAACTTCCGGCGACAGCATGCCACACGACAGGCTAGGCCTAATCAGCGATCAAAGTTGCGATTTGGTATGGAATAAACTATACTCTTTGCAGTGGCGATATGTACCGTTAACGACAGCGATGCCATGGGCGGCACGTTTTAACACTTGAATGGCGATTTGCGATTCAAATGCAATGTCTTGAAATCAATTGTGCGCCCATGAAATAGAACAATTGGTGCCGTTCAACACATAAAATGTTGGTTGCGACTCAACAAAGTTTCTAATGTGCAGAATCAAGGTAATCAGAAAGATAAGCGGCGAATTTTCGTGACGGCCCTTTCTTTTATTTGTCCCGACCCTCCACCCTCGCGTTCATTTAGTTGGGCCGCTAACATTCAGAAATTTCAATGGATGTAAGCACTGCGCAACGCATGCCTCAATTCTCGAAAATACTAGGCTGCACGCTCAATGCATTTCGCGTAACTGCGGCCCTTCGAAAAGGTTGTTTACAATCAACCAGGATTCGTTTTCAGCTTCAAGGACAATCAGCGGAGCTTGATGGGTACAGACAAAAAAAAAGAAACCATAGATCAGGCTCGACAGGGTCCGTACCCCCGGGCTTGGCAAACGTGGCATGCAGAGTACACAGAAAGGCAACAAGTAGCACATGACAGTTCTCTTCACAGGAACAACATAAATGATCTCGTGAAACTGAAAAATGTACGTAATAGAAAAAAAATGCACTGGTACAGCATAATGAGATTTATAGATACATTTATCATTATACATATGTGAACTAAGTACGTGGAAGAGACGTATGTTATTCGTAAATTAAGTAGCAGTGGTAACTGATATTTTAACACCTCAGTACCATAATCGGTTCGCGTTCTGGTTAACCTCTAGACTTTACGAACCCTCAATGTTGGCACATATACAGCGTGGGTTAGCCCTGACAATTCTGTGAAAAATGTGTGGTAATTTTTTGTAGTGGCCTTTCTTTAAAATTGTGCGATAGAGCTCATTTTATGGAAATAGGTTCAGAGCCTTGCAAATCGGTCCAGTGCGGGCATCGTATGCAGCAATAACAATGTTTTGAATGGCTGGCTTTCTTTTGGAATTTGAGCAATTGCTTAGTTTTGATGGTCTTGCTCCAGACTAAGTGGAAATAAGACAAGTTGGGCAAAAATAATGATTTGTAAATAACATTTATGCTTTGTGGCAGGAGTAATGAAATTTGGATAATATTCCTAGAGTTTTTAAAAGTATATTTAAGGTGGCATTTACTTGATCTATCCAAGTCATATTGCCACACTCCTTCCTCAAGTTTTCTTGTCCCCCCGTTACACTGTACGACATTCTCAGCGTAAACCACACTTACACTGTTCGAGAAGTTTTGGGACGGCAGGAGATCATTTTGTTCAGATTACGCCCCCTTTGTGAACATTACAGATTTGCGCTACCCTCGACCAATCGTCTGCTACGGCACCTTACTGCAACGGTTCGCTGCACTGTTCCTCGCGCAAACGCCTCCTCTATTTTATCAGTGCCAGCCAGACGCACCCAATTCAGCTGTTCACTACCCTTTTCTCTAGACCTTTCTCGCTCTCTCCCATCACCTAGCCTTCGAGTGTGCTTTGCAATCACGAGGGAGAGTAGCCTCTCATACAGTGCCTCATGACAGAAATTATATGAAGTAACTTTTTGTTCAGTTGGTACAGATACATGGGGCGGCGTCTTGCATTTCTCGCGTTCACAATATTGGAAGTCACGCTGGCTTTGTGAAATATATGGTGTTCTTAAATGGCGTGTCGGCGTTGGTGGCACTATGCGAACAACCAATGCGGAACCGTCACTGCAATGTTTCTGCACGTGCTGCTCGTTGACGCGGCGACGGCATTGTCTAGAGCCAGAAGGAAGCAGCATAAAGGAGTGAATATGACAGACGTATAATACATAACCGCCAACCAAGAAACAGAGAACTTCGTAAAACCCCCAGAGCGGGGGGTAGTTATTGACTTTTTATTTTTGTAGCTGTGTGATGAATTTGGCATTAGCGACAAGCATAATCATGTTTTGCCGCCATAAGTCAAATCTACATGCTGAATTATTTTCAACCATTTTCAGCACAAAAAAAAACATCGGGAAAAACAAGAAAGGGAGGGGGGGGGGGGGAGAGAGTCCAAACGCAAACATCGGCCTTACGGTCTAATAATGGCTTGGAGTGGCCGAAAACCCGGGTAGGCTTTCCCACTAAGGCGAGAGCCTCAAAGCGGGAGTGCAAATGCTCCTGAAATTTCCCGTCATCAAAATAACTAGCAACAAAATCGATACCCATCAAAATAACTTATGTATGTCTTCACACGTGAATGGACAGGAGAGCACAGCTGGCTGCCGTGAAAGCGCTGGTCAAAGCTTTGGTTTTGCTCGCTACTAAATTTTTTTGGACATAAAGGCCAAACCGCTTCTAGACTTTTTTACATCTTTACTGCCTTTAATCTACCGCTGCATCAGCCACGTGTTCTCGGAGCTCATACATCGCTATCGCATAACCGTGATTGCGTTTTTGTGCGCGGCGGTTGCGGCAAACGATAGTTTTATTTTCAATCCATATGCTTTCAAAACTAAATCGTTTTATGCTATCTAAGATCGCAACTGCTGCTGTTTTTGTCGACAAAGTTTGCTGAAAGCAGCGTTGCTTAAACTGGTCGAGTGTTGGCCACGCGCACACTTCAGGAGTTCTGTCAGTAATGTCGTCGCCATAAATGATCGTCTCAAACGACAGCAGTTTCGTACACAGCGGTTGTGGCAACAACAACCACACGCACTGTAAAAGACAGTGCGTGCGCTGGTCGCACGCATACTTCTGAAGCTTCAAGCACGCTGCTCTCCGTTGGCCTTCGTTCGACGGTTTCGATACTAAAGTTCGTATCAAATACCGTGATCAGGAAAAGTGTTCGGAACATTCGAATCTTGGCTCAATGGACACAAGAACTTGGCTGGGAATGTCATGAATTTTTATCTGCCGCGGTTTCGCATCACTGAGACTTTACTGTATGTTTAGATGAAGGCCTCTAAAATTCAATTTAATGAAATGCGGTAGGCTCGCAATAAGCCTGGAGTGACCTGCATTTTTGTCAATGTGGCCAGATCTTACACACAAATTTCGATTTCAAAAGATTTTTATGGCAACCATACAAACAGAAGAAACAGTCGAAACCCGGGAGTCTTCCAGACAATGCGGGAGACTTAGCAGGTATGTGATGATAACACCAATACATATTGTTTTATCGTGGTGGCGGAATATAGCACAGCGCCGTTTTTGTGGCATCCGCGACTAGCTACAACAATGCGCCATAGCCAATCGCGGACGCCACGTTTTATTATTTTTTTTATCGGAAATGAAATATTTTTTGTAAAGATTCAGGCAAGATTCCTCAAATCGTAAGCGTGGTTGGAATTCGTACATTTTGCAAGAAAATCAGAAGAGTTGGCAGGTATGTATGATATTGGTGCGGGAAACATGTCTATGGCATCTTTGGGGGAAAGTCCTCGCATGCACGTGTGACGCGAGCAGCGCGACCCCTCATACAGCGCTGCATCACGACCACTCCTTGAATTGAACCGACAGCTCCCGTTGAAAAGTGCACGCTTGCACTGGCATTGAAATAAAGGAGGCATTGCTTGCACTACATTCCCTGTTGTACTCCTATCGAATTTAACCATTCATCCTGCACTTCCAGTCGACATTCTCGCATCACATTTGTGGACTGCTTATATGGATACACACTAGGTCTCCTGTATAGATTGGCCCAGATGTATTGCTCCTTGCAAGTTGGCTAAGAATCATGTCCAGCCTTTATTTGTGCTGTCTGCATTTGGTTTAACCCCCCAAGTAAGAGAAATTTAACCTGAATAAGCATTTTCAGCGTAAAAATTTTATGACAGCTGCTACCATTTAGACACATTCGTAACCACGAAAAATTTTTAGGTAGTCCAGGAAACATTATTTTTTATGGTCCCCAAAGTTTGTGATGGTAACATTAATTGTGTCAAATTGTACAGCAAGGAGTTATCTTTCAATAAAAGTCTGTTTAAAACCACAAATTTATCAACAGTATTACGAAAAAGAATATTAGAAAAATGTAACATTAAGAAAGAAATTTTATAAAACCATCAATACTGCTCTCAACAGGGTAAGCATAAAGAAAAATCGAAAT